ATATTAGGAAGAAACAGAAGAGAGGATTACAGAAGAGAGAATTAGAATTAGAGAGACAAGGTCAAAAAGGGGAGGGAGAAGAAGAGAGGGACGAGGGAAAGGAAAAGAAGTTATAAAGGACAGAAACGGGATATAGAGAAACAGGGAAAACGTACAAGGATTAAAGATATAAGCCTATTTAGAAGACAGAGAGATAATGGGTGAAAATTTAATTGAAAGAGGGATTCTGCAAGGGTACATATATTAGAAATAGAAATGTTATATTAGAAATAGAAATGAACTTAGAAAATATGAAACAAGTGTGATTAAAATGATAGATAAAATACTCATTGTAATGTAATGGAATATTTGTTAATAAATAAAATAAATAAAGTGAATGAGAGAATGAAATTAGGAAAGGACAGGAACATTTTAATTATTATTAATGAGTTATAAAAATTTAAGTGAAGAGGAATATGAAAGAAATATGGAAAAATTATGGAAATATTATAAGTGTTCCTAAGGAAGTATGATATCCCATTGAAAAGAAATGTTAAAGATGTTAAAGATTATAACTAACATTAATGATAGAGCTGAATTGGAATAGAATAAGTATTTTATTTATTATTGTTATATGTATACTTTCTCTTTAAGAACCTAGTGTGTATTTTAAGAATGTACCAAGCAGAATTCGACTAGAAGTTATGTGTTATATTGAATGTTATAATTGTAAAGGCATAAATTGAAGTTTAAATAAGAGTTGAATGGACAAAAATTAAAAGATACAAAGGTGTCATACTCCAATCAGTAACTACAGGGGAAAATATTGTTTAATGAGAAAAGAAAATATGAAATTGAAACAAGACAGACAAAAGTATAAATATAATGATTAGAAAGATATTGAAACTTAGAAAAAAGATATCATTGAATTTAGAAAGGAACGAGATAATTAAAAGCAAGGTTGAGAAAACTAAAGGAAGGGAAAAATTATTGAATGTTAAAATGTTAAAATAGTAATAAGATATGGAATAGAACACAAAGATGAATATGAAATTGAGTTTGTGTCTGTATGGAGAAGTGATAACCCGGGACCATGCTATTCTCAAAAAAAGATATTTTATTTGTATTATGTTTTGTGAAAACCCAAATAAAATTTTTACAAAAAAAAAAAATTACTACTGGTTCTGTGGGCGTGGCTTGGTGGGTGTGGTGTGGCTTGGTGGGTGTGGAAGGATACTGTCAAATCTCCATTCCAACCCCACCCCACTAACCTGCTTTCCAGCTCCGTTGTCCTGTGCAGGGCAACAAAAGAAGAGCCAGCCAATCAGCTGGGACTTGGGAGGCAGAGAATAGATGGGGGTGGGGCCAGTCAGAGGTGGGATTTGCCGCTTCTCCAACCTACTCAAAATTTCTGCTACCGGTTCTCCAGAACTGGTCAGAACCTGCTGAATACCACCTTTGCTTTGGGTGCTTTGGAAAATAGGTTGACCCCCTCGACTTACAACCACAATTAAGCCCAATATTTCTCTTGCTAAACGACACAGTTGTTAAGTGATTTTTGCCTCATTTTACTACCTTTCTTGCCACAGGTGTTAAGTGAATCCCTGCAAGTTGTCAAGTTAGCAACATGGTTCTGAAGTGAATGTGGCTTCCCCATTGACTTTGCTTGCCAGAAGGGTGCAAAAGGTGGTCACATGGTCCCCGGACACTGCAACTGTTATAAATATGAGCTGGTTGCCAAGTGTCTGAATTTTGATCATGGGATCATCGGATGCTGCAATGGATGTCAATATGAAAACGGTCAAAAATCACTTTTTTCAAAGTTGTAACTTCAAATGGTCACTAAATGAATTATAGTAAGCCGAGGACTACCTGTAACATGGTGGGTGCCACATTCAAAGGTTCAAAAAGCAGATCTTTTTTTAAAAAATGCATGAAATTATAGATCAAAATATTGTCTTCTCAATATGAATGGTAAAAACTGGGGATTTTTTGGTCTCCTGCATTCCTAATGTCTGGACATACTATTTAATTCTGACCTCTGGGAAGTAAGTGATAAGTACCAGTGGTTGTAATTTTGCCAGAATGTCTTCTTAAGATTTTATTTGGTTGGACATTCAATCAACCTTTTGTACATGCTGCAAAATCCCAGCATGCTTGGAAGAAACTTGGTCATTAAACAGGTGACATAGTCACTATTATTGATGCAGGATGAATGAGAAACAGCAGGAATGTCCCAGTTTCACATTTCTCTGCATTCTTCACCTTTTGAGATGCAATTAAGGCTTTACTCCTTCATTACTCTGCTATCTGGTGAGACATTTCTCCTTAATTCTAGGTTGGATCTCCCTTTAATCATTGTCCATTCATTGTTCATATGGTTTAGCCTCCAAACCCTTTATCACCTTTGTTGCTCTTCTCCACACTCTTTCTAAGGTTTTAACATATTTTTTGTATCAAGGTGACCAGAACTGGATACGGTATTCCAAGTGTGGTCTCACCAGCACAGTGTAAAGGATTACTATAAATTCACTCAATACTATAAATGAACTTGAAATTATTGGTGTGTTGATGTAAAGCTGACAATTGCATTAGGTTTTTGGCAGCTGAAACACACTGCTGGCTCATACTTAAGTCATGGTCTGTTACGACACCTAAACCTCTCAAGATGTTATAAATCCCTGTATGTTGTAGAAGTAATCCGTGACTGGATTTGTCACTATAATGTCATTCTCCTAAAACCAACAGTGTTATTTTCATAATTGGATCTGAATTCCTACCCAGGAAGGGAAGCCCATAGCTCATTCCTTCATGCATGAAAAATCTGAAATTTGGGATCTAACACATCGGGGTAGGACTGAGAAAAACTCTTCTCTGTGCCTTTATTAGTCAGTGCAAATAATACTGACTTTGATCACTCAATAGCCTCACACAGCACAGAGTGGCCAATTAAAACAGCGAGATGCACAGACGTCGATTTTTATCCAGCTGGCAAAATAATCCCTAATTTGTCTGGGGATTTTTTAGGGGGGGGGGGGGGGTATGAAATGTAAGTTTTCCTGCACTGAAGGATGAAGTGTAAACATTTCTCTTTATCAGAGGACACACAATCCACTTCAGTGATAAAGAACATTTTTCCTGTTACTTTTTAATCCAGAAAGATGTTGCAACACTTCATATTTAGCCTGTTCCCATTGCAGAAACTCCAGCCTATATCTTATATACTTTACTTCTTTATCCTTTCTTAGTTCATGTCTTCCAGCAATGCCTATTTGTCTGAGTTGAGCCTTGCAGTCTGCTTCTGTTCCTAATTAAACTATATTTCTGTTGGTGTCGTGGACAGAATTTTCTTTGCATAGTACTGTTACACTGAAAAATGTTATATGTGGATTAAAATTAAAGCCCTATTTTGAATTCAAAACCCTGAATTAAAGGGGCAAACAAAAATGGATGGAAGCTTGTTAAAGGGAGATCCAATCTGAAACCAAAGAGAAATTTCTTGACATTGAGAACAATTGACCCATAGAACAGCTATTGGAGTTGTAAGTGCTCCATTGCTCCAGGCTTTCAAGGAATGATTAGACAGCCATTTGTCTTGGATGATATAAATTATAAGGTCTCCTGCCTTGAGCAGTGAGTTGGACTATAAGAACTCCAAGGTCTCTTCCGTGATTCAATTTGAATGGGAAAGGGACCATTTGATAATTTTTGAGCTGTACTGAGCATGAAACAAAATATTTCCAACTCAAAATGACTGTGGAGTACAAAAATCCAATTTTGAAGTGATTAGAATATCTTGGGGTATCCCATTCCATCATATCTGGTTGTAGCCCTGGACATTTGTTCCAGGAATTTTCCTATACATGTAGTCCTTGTCTTACAACCATTTATTTAGTGATTCAAGGTTAAAAATGCACTGAAAAAAGTGACTTACAAGCAGTTATTGCACTTACAACTGTCACAGCATCTCCAGTCACATTATCAAAATTTGGGTATTTGTCAACCTGCATGTATTTACAATGGTTGTAGCTTCCTGGGGTCAAGTGATCACCATTTGCAACCTTCTCAGCTGGCTTCCAACAAGCAATGGGGAAAGCCAGGTTCAGTCAATGACCTCATAATTTATTTAATGCTGTAATTTGTTTAACAATCAAAGGTTGTAAAATTGGGCATGACTAATTTAATAACCACCATATTTAGCAACTGAAATTCTGGTTCTTATTTATTCATAAGGTAAGCATTATCTGTAAAAAAAAAAAAGTACCCCTGACATCAATGTTTAAAATTATATTTAACATGTTTAAAATTATATTTAATATAATACTTCCATCTATTTATCTTAGAACTGAAAATTCTGGAAATTATTCCTGATTTTTAACAAGCACAAATTTCATGTACGTCCACTCTAACTGTTTATGCAGGAAAGAATGAAAATAACATAGAAATCCTTGACGCTAACGTCATTTTATCTTTATTTACAAGACAACAACTTAATAGGTGTTGAAATTAGATTTCCCCCAGGAGGGGGAAACTTTTTTCTCCTAATGATTATTTCCAGCAGAGCCCAGAACTAACTAGATCCAAATCTCAACTACTAGAATTCTGCTTAGAAATGAGGAAAATCTTGATTTTCCAGATGTTGAACTGCAATTTCCAGTAGCCCCAACTGGCAAGAGCGCTGGAGAGATCATAAACAGTTAATGCAGGAAGCATGATGCAAATTGCCTCTAACAGCCAAAGCCTGCATTCTATTCACATAAAAGTGGCCTGGTGTTGTGTATGGAATCTTTTTGCAGATAGGATGCACATTTGTGTTTTTAGCAATTTCACCCAGCCATTTCTTTTTCTTAAAAACAAAGATCTGCATTTCTAAAAAGTTAACATTTGAAGGATGATAAGTAGATAACTGAGCAGACATTGTGAGTTTCAAAGAATTAGCATTCATGGCTCTGCTGCATCAAGTTGGAGAACAATATCTCATGGGTCTCACAGGAATCATTCATCAGGCTCATTTAATTCAACATTTATATTAATGATGGAATTGATGGCTGATAATCCAATGTATGAGGGTCACAAATTGGAGCTGTCAAAACAACACAATGATGTGATAGCCTAATCTAGACATGTTGATATGTAGACCTGAGATGAACAAGATGCCCTTTAACAGAAAAAAATGTTAAGTTTCACATTTAGGGGAAAACATTGAACACATATAGAAGATGAGAGAGAGTTTGGTATAGTGGGTGAGGCATCAAACTAGAAATTATAGAGACTGTGACTTCTAGTCCTGTTTTAGGCACAAAGTCAGCTGGATGACCTTGGGCCAGTTCCTTTCTCAGCCCTGGGAAGGAGGCAATGGCAAATCATTTCCAAACATGTTGCCAAAAAACCCCAAAAGTCCAGGCAGTCACCGGGAGCCAACACTGACTTGAAGGCACACAAAACACAAAACAAACAAGCAAACAAACAAAACCCACAACCACATAAAAGATGGTGGATTCACAAATCTGGGAAGAAATTGGGTGTGAGCATTGATAATACATTGAACATGAGTCAGCACCATGAGACAATTTCTAGAAGGTCTAATGCATTCTTTGCATTGCATCAAAGAGACGTGAAGCCATTATTTCTCTCTCCTCAGCACTAGTGAGGCAATACCCAGAATATTTTTTTAAGATTCTGTGCACTCTATTTCCAGAAATACATGGACAGATTGGAGAGTGTTCAGAGGAGAGAATAAAACATAGAATCAAAAGGCTAGAAGATATTTTGGAGGTCTTCTACTCCAAACCCCTGCTTGAGCAGGAGTTCTTACACCATCCCAGTCAAATGGTTGTCTAGACTATTCTTGAAAACCTTCAGTGATGGAGCACTGATTGTTCTTACTGTCAGGAAGTTTCTTCTTACTTCTAGATTGGATCTTTATCAAACTTCCACCCATTACTTGTTTTCCTGCCTTCAGATACTTTGGATAATAAGCCCCCTGCTCTTTGTATAGGGATTTGTAGACATGAAGGAACTGAAGGGTGTTTAGGCTGAAGGAGAGAAGGAGAGACGTGATAATATGTTCATGTAAATTTTAAAAAAACTGTTCCTACATAGATTTCATTTAAATAGAAGGAAAAAACTTCCTGATGGTAAGACCTTCACAACATTAGACCAATCTATCTCTGATTGTTGCAGGTTCTTCATTTCTGGGGGGTTTTAAGGAGAAGCTGTTCAGCCACTTTTCAGGGATGGGACAATTTGTTTTCCTGCACCCTTCAGAACCTAACTAGAAGATCAACTCAATTACAATAGAGCTGGAAGGGACTTTGGAGGTCTTCTAATCTAGCCCCTGTTCAAGCAGGAGACCCTATATTATTTCAGACAAGTGATTGTCCAGTCTCTTCTTGAAAACCTCCAGGGATGAAGCACCCACAACTTCTGGAGGGAAGCTGTTCCACTGGTTAATTGTCCTCACTGTTAGGAAGTTTCTCCTTAGTTCCAAGTTGATTCTCTTCTCAATTAGTTTCCATCTCTTTCTTATCCTGCCTTCTGATGCTTTGGAAAATAAATTTACCCAGTCCTCTTTGTGGCAGCCCCTCAAATACTCGGATACTTTGAGATACCTTCCAACTCTACAATGTTATCATTCCATAAGATGCATGGCAACCATCTGCCAAGAATTCTGATCTACTTCTTTATAGGATAACCAGCTCCATCTGTGGTGAACAAAGTAGCATACCAACAGAATGGCCATATTCAGAAATTGGTGGGAGAACTTTCCAATGTCCTTGCAGACCCTGCTGCTGATTGAAGAAAGGGGGAAGGATTTCTAGCAAGGATACCTCTAAGTGAGATTCAAGTATAAAAATCCTTCCAACTCTGTTATTCTATTATGTGATTGTATGGGGTAAACCCCTAGCTTATCAGATACTGGAGCATTGTCTCTTCTAGGAATTCTAGGTAGCATGACCCATGGTAAGAGTTGATGGGATCCAACAAACCCTGGATGGTTGCAGATGCCTTATTGTGGCTATACAGGATAGGATCGTTTACTTTTTCCATAAAAGAAAGAAAAAGGTCATTTGAAATCAAAACAGATGAATTTTGCACACAGTGGAATGAAGTCCATTGCTCAACAGGAAGCTGACCTTGATGGTGGTCTGCTGAAGGAAACCAACAAATTATTTACAAAAATTCTTCTTTAGGGAGATAAGAACTGTATGATTTATGAACATCCTCCAGACATTAAGACTCTTGGAAGATGACCATCAAAAATAGTTAGGAATTAACATGTTTTCCTTTGGTGATTGGGTAACTCTCTTCATAGGTCATAAAACTGGCTGGCTAAACCTTGCTTAGCCAGGTCCAAGAGGAACAGACACAGACAAAATATCCCTAGGATACGCTGAAGTCAGCAAACATTCCTCAGAGGATTGCAGCTTCCAATTTGTAATCAAACCGGATCTTTTCATATGATTGAACTTAGAAAATGTAGCCCAACAATAACCAGCTTAGCTGTTTCTAAAGAAGTTGATGGATCATTTGGAAATCTGTAACATACTTGTAGAGTGTTTTGCCATTTTCCACAGATAAGCAGTACATGTATTTTTTTGCATCATCCTTAATAAGGAGGAGGAGGAGAAGGTTGGGGAAGGAACCCTGAATATCTCCCTCCACCCATTCCATGTTAATTTTTGTGTAAATCAAAATTATGTAACTTTTTCCAAATACAGTGAAACCAAAATGTAGCGGATGGGCCTGAAACAAAAAATGCGATTTTTTTTACATTTATTTTACATTTATTTAATTACAGATAGTCCTTGAGTTATGATCACTGTTGAGCCCAAAATTTCTGTTGCTAAGCAAGACAGTTAAATGCCCCATTTTACAACCTTTCTTCCTAAAGTTGCTAAGTGAATCACTGCAGTTGTTAAGTTAGTAACACGGTTAAGTGAACCTGACTTCCTCATTAACTGTCAAAAGATTGCAAAGGGAATCACATGACCTCGAGACACTGCAACTGTCACAAATACGTCAGTTGCCAAGCATCCAATTTTTGATCATGTGACTATGAGGATGCTGCAAAGATCATAAGTGTGAAAAAAGGGCATAAGACACTTTTTACAGTGCTGTTGTAACTCTAAATGGTCTCTAAACAAATGGTTATAAGGACTACGTGTATAAGGAGTGTCATGACTGAGTTGTCAGAATTAGTCATTGGAAACTAGAGGTTTGAGTTTGAATGTAGTAAAAACTACTGAGACTCCCAAGTTGAGAAACTTTTGGAAAATGAGCAGTTTAAGATCTTACAGGGTTTTAAGTTCCAAACAGGCAGGCATCTTGTTCACAACATGCCTAGTGTAACAATTATTGTAAAGAGAGAAAGTCTGGTTCATTGGTGTTGCTATTTTGGGTTGTAGGAAGTTAGCACCCACCCCTCTCCTAGAAAATTGAAATATCCTAGGAAATATTAAAAAGGCAGAAAGTTTCCCCTAAAAAGAGTAGAAACTCAAGAGCAGAAACTCACCTCAGAAGCAGAAACTCACCCCCACCTTTGTTAATAGGTGGGCCATTAAGGCCTGGGCCAGAATACTTTACATAACAAAGATGTCCAGGTCAGGGGTCCCCAACCACCGGTCCACGGACCGGGATCAGTCCGTGGATCATTTGGGACCGGGCCGCCTACTTTGCTTCGGTGCCATCTTGTTCCGACATGCTGGATCAAGCGCTGGTTTTGATGCTGTCTCTCAGCCTCACTCGACCAAAAATGTCAGCTCCACGCCGTGCGTGGCTGGAGAAAAGGGGGACGTGGTAGCCGCGGAGAAGCTGCTCTCCCTAAGAAGAAGGCTCCCAATTCGCCGGGCTTACGCCAGGAGTTCTGCGAGGCTATGCTGCCGCCGATTATCTCGATCCCAGCCTGCACGAACTGCCCTCGCCCTCTTCGGAAGCGGCCGGTGACCTGGTCAAGGCTCTGGTGAAGCTCTTCTTTGATCGCCTCACCGACACACGGCTACAGGCCACTCAGGTGAGCAGCAGGAAAAGGGAGCTGGGCAGCCACAGACCAGCCGTCTCTCCGTCTGACGGCTTCAACCGAATCTCTGCCTCCCAGCGCGCTTGGTCCTCCGCCCGCAGGCTTCCCCGGCCCCTTGCCAAGCGGGTTTTCCACCCCAGCCCGGCAGGGCCCTCGCTGCCTTCCCCTCGCCTGGCCGGCTGGGCTCCTTGGGCAACCCGGCTGCCTCATGCCAAGAAGCGCACTGCCAGGCGGGAGCCACGCGGCACAGGGCAACACGCCACCGCCCGGCCCTGGCGAGGGAAAGCAGCGAGCGCTCCCCGGGCGGCAGCCTCGGCCCCGCCACCAGGGGAGCGGCTGCCCAGCTCCGGAGCTGATCCACACCTGACCGGCTGGAAAGGAAGGGTGTGTAGCGTTGGTGTTGTGTGTGCGATTTCTTGGCGCGCAGCGCGGGGTCTCTTTTGGCTGGCCCCGATTTTTTTTTCCAGAGGGGAATATCATGCCTGCATTAACCATGCTTATTAAATCCAATCCAACTTTGATTATAATTAAATTAAGTCATAACTAGCTTTTCAATGAGTGGAATAAATAAATAAATAAACAAACAAACAAACAAACAAACCCTAACCGGTCCCTGGTACAAAAAAGGTTGGGGACCACTGCTCCAGGTAAAACTATAGCAATTGCCCAAAGCCCTTTCAGTGCATCATCATCCAGCAAGGCTCAACCAAGCCTGGAACTCAGGACAGCCTACAGAGCTGCCCCTGCATGGCCCCATGGGAGTCTAACCAATCAGAATACAAACTCCAATTCAAATCCCAACAAAGGATATAAAACCCAGGCACTCTCAGCATCTCAGCCCTTCTTGACCTTCTCTTCTCACCTTGAAGTATGTGATCAATCCTTTTCACTTTGGAGCTTCAAGCCATGTGGTCCTGCTGTCCACCATTTAAACAATCTTTCCTAACAGCCTCCATGTTTCCAGTGTCTTTTTCCCCACTTGGAACTGAACCCAGAAGGATATTTCTTCCAACAGGGTGATGCAAGGATTGAGGAAAAACAATTGGAAAAAATACAGAATATCAGGACTTGCAGATTTTTTTGGCACACGACGAAGAAAAGGTTAGCCATCACTGTTATAAACCATCTAGAGTAGCCCT